CATATGGGACCCTCTTGGCCAAACCATACTGGCTTGACATGGGCAAACACAATCAGTCCCATATAGGCTGCCTACACTGGCCTAAGGTAGTACCCACAAAGGCAACCTCTATATGGGTTCTGAATGGGGAAACACATATGGGACCCTCTTGGCCAAACCATACTGGCTTGACATGGGCAAACACAATCAGTCCCATATAGTCTGCCTACATGGGCCCAAGGTAGTACGCAAAATGGCAATCTCTTTATGGGTTCTGAATGGGGAAACACATATGGGGCCCTCTTTGCCAAACCATATGGGTAAAACATTGGCAAACACAATCAGTCCCATATAGGCTGCCTACATTGGCTCAAGGTAGTACCCACATGGGTAATCTCTGTATGGGTTGTGAATGGGGAAATACATATGGGGTAGTGACGGGTCATTCATGATTGATCTGTTCATTGCGTCTGTCACGTGACAAATGAATGAAAGACTCTGAAGGTAAAGTAATTATTTATGTTCCCTATAAATTATCTTTGGCTGCATTATTATGATTTTTCTAGTTTGGAATATTATCAAGATTGCGTAGGTGGATGTGTTCGGGGAATTTGGCTGGTAAAAGTATAATATTTAATGCCACTTAAATGATTGAAATAAACTTGAAGACTTGAATAAAGATTTGTTAATTTTGATGAACGAGATCAAAGGAGAGAGTCAGTAAAATGATCCGAACTTCCCATCACTAATATGGGGCCCTCTTGGGTAAGACATAAGCATTCTGGGTAAGAAATGAGCAAACATAATCAGTCCTATATAGGCTGACTTGGACCCTATAGTACACAAATAGGTACTATAGGAACAGATTGGGCAGTGTGTTTGGGATCTATGTGAGTACAGTATTGACTTTACTCTCCAGAGAAACAAGCGCGTCATCATCTTTAGAATATTGTCTTTGAACTTCCGTTTGTGCGGTAGCTCTGTATATTTCTATGGCATCGCTGTCTAAGTAACTTAGCTGGTAAAGTGGTTTTATGTATTTTAGAGTTAACGAAAGTTATCGTGAACAATGTAATGTTTAAAGCAAATGTCAGTAGACCAGGAAGATTTTAAAACGAGCGGTTCATTTATAAATCTGTCAGATCACAGAAGACAGCAAACGCAGCACTAAAAAAGGGGGGGCTACATAAGATGAATAGGCCACTGGTTCTCAACTCCAGTCCTAGAGGGCCGGTGTATAGCAGACTTTAATTTCAACACTAATTAAACACACCTGTCTCTTATTCACAAATGATTTTGAACACTGTGATTAGCTTGTTTGGTTAGAGATAGAACTAAACTCAACAGTACATTTACTCTTCAGGACTGTTGAAGAGTTCTTGAGTCAGGGGTTGAAGAGCCCTGAAATATACAAATCAAATTAAACCCAGAGTGCCATCAGCAATAACCTGCAAAGCACATGCTTATCTCCATATAGTTATTTCAAAATCTATACAAATGGCTCAAAATGCAATATGAAGAAAATGGTCACTGTGCAATATGAAGAACAGGTTACAGAAGGCTAATTATCTATCATAATAATGGGATTATAGTGGCCTTGAGATGGGTAGAAGAACTCAAACCCTTAGCAACAGCTGCCTGATTCCACAGAAGTACTCCAGAGTTTTATGGTCAGTCGGTTAGTAACAGATAATGAAATAGCCCAAGTGAAGAAAGATAGAATGGAAATTCATGTTTCTGATGGAAAAATCCAATGTAAATCCAGAAATCGTATTTGCAGCATATGATACAGGAGTTCAGAATAAATTGCCGTTTCATTCACTTAGCCTATTGTGTTTTGTGTTCAGTTTTCTTTTTGGACCAATAAATCATTGAAAAATGTTTTTAACAAAAACAAATCATTAAAAAAATACAATAAAAATATCTGTTGAATCAATGTCATGTCCTTAACAAGAAATATCTGCCTGAGATACTATTTAAACTGAACTTAGCTGGATGATGACATCACTGAATTCAATGATGAACTGCCTTTAACTGAAAAATTTGTGTTTACTATTGTCATTTTGCATTATTGACACACTATTTTCCTAATTAATGCTGTTCAGTTGCTTTGACACAATCTGTATTGTTAAAAGCGCTATATAAATAAAGGTGACTTGACTTGACTATTTCAATGCAGCGTCCGAATTTGCTGTGTGTTTGTATTAATGTCAGCTAGCTTAAAACGCAAACTCGTGAGAAGTAAAGGAGCATTGGAATAAGTAAAGTGAATGAGAAAACTGCAATTTACACTCAGAAACACTGAAATCTATAGGATAGTTGAGAAATGTTATATTTGTTATGATTGTGTAGATGACCGTTTCTGATTATTTTTTTATTTTATTTCACCTCTTCAAATACTGATAACGGCTAAAGATAAGATTGGTTTACATTTTTAGATCAATCACACATTTTTCAGGGAAAACATGCACCCAACACAGAGACTACAGTAAGATGTTATTCAGTTTTAACCATTTCTAGACCTCACATTGGGATTAATATTAAGTATGATTCTAATCATAAGTACATTTGTAAGATATTTCTATAAATAAAACTTGTCACCATCATCAGTCCTTTATTTCATTCACTGGGGAACATCACAACCTTCAGATGTGTCATATCAGGATAAATGCAGCTTCATATAATCAAAATTATATGATGGTTTGATTGTGGTGTACAAATTGGCTTTTTTTTAAGCTGCAGTTGTGTTTACCTTGCTATGATATCTATGGAAAGGGTCCATTTTTGTGAATCCTCTGTCTTTTTTTGGGGGATTCACATTTTTCTGATGGGATTGTCATGCATTAGGTTTATGTTTAAATTTTGAATCATTACTTACAGTTTTAAAGATGACAATTTGTTTATGTTGTCTAAATGGCTTATAATGGCAAATGGCAGTACAATTTAAATACATTT